CACCTTATCACAGAGAATGTTAATCAGCTAGATGTGAAATGATATATATTAGTAAAGATTAAGAAAGATATGCTTTTAAAGTCAATGATAATCATTTAACAGTAGTATCAACTAAACACCACTATAAATATCTTCATGAATTCATTTAGATGGAAAAATTTATCGTCAAGCTAGTTATAAAGAAAGAATTTAAAGATACGGTCAAAAAAATTTGTCAAATTAATAAAGAAGTTGTCTAGATATTCAAACTACTTTCAACTTGTTCTAAACATCGGAATTTCAGTACCTACTATGGGATGACATACATTATTATTATTGTTATTATTATTATTCGAAATACACGCTTGATACAGCATGGACGCCAAGGAATGTACAACACGAAGTAATATGATGCATTTCTATAACATTCAATCAATAAAAATATGATCATTAGTTATTTTCGAATACATCTTATGCTTGCATTATTCATTAAACAGATACGAAAGTCTAATTTTGATGGATAGAAAAGAAAAATGCAATCTTAAGGTTATTATAGCATACTATTACAAAATTTCGAGTAGTACAGAGACATTTTTATGATAAGTAAAATTCTATATAAACTTTCAATTGGAAAATGAAGTGATAGTGAACTTAAGAGCTCATTTTTTTTCTTTCTTTAAAGAAGCCGAATGAATGATAAGATGGTTAAAAATAACAAGTGGATTGATGATTTCCACCAAAGTAACCGACAAAATGTTTCCGAAAAATCCACTATATTGTGTTAAATCAATGCACACACACACACACACCACTAAGATGAAAGTGACAATTATGTTCTCTTTTGATCATGTGCATTACAAGGTTAGTGGAACTACGTCAGACAATGTACAACTTTTTTTCTTTAAATGTTAATCTTCACATTACTACAGTGTATGTGAAAGGCAAAAATAAAACAAAAACAAAACCATATTTTGAAACAAACAATGGCGCCTATACACATACACATAGAAAAAACATCGCAATTATTCTATTTTGACTATAAGATTGATAATAAATCAATTTATAGTGACCTAAGAAAGTTGCACAGATTCAAAGGAATCATTGACAGTCAGGCATGTAATTAACACGAGTCGAAGTGTTAGTCCATCCTAAATGATTATTACTCTGTTCTTAATGAATAACAATCTTTTAGTAACATAATTGTTTACTTTACTACTAATCCATTTTTTTTGTACTACCTTCAGATAAATCAGCTTGAAACAGAATATCAACAACTGCCAGAAGGCTGAATATTGCTTGATCATGTTTTTGTCTAACAAGTTTCATGTTATTTCTGCTACTACAAACAATACAATAGTAATTTCGAGAGACTTCCATTTGTTGACGTGTGTCAGTGGTGCAGCGGTAAGATGCTCGCCTAACACGCATGCGGTATGGGGTTTGATCACCAGCCAATGCACTCCTAAACCTCGCTTATTCAATAGTAGTCGCCTGGGAAAAGAGGGAAGGTTGAGCGTGAGGCTAGCGATTAGTTGACACAGAATGTGAGTGATTTTCGTTCACGACATAACAGTATTAAATAAAAGTGGCGAAGTAAGTATGTGCTGAGAGTTGGCTGCTAGCCAAAGTTAGTAGACAGTAATTGACGTCAATGTTTATGTCCCCAATATTGGTGGTGAGAAAATGAGAACAAAGGCTTTGTGTAGGCGGATGCAGTTAGCATATGGATGATCTGACACAGCCACAAAGAGATGCAAGGTTAGCTTTCTGTGAGAAACAACCAATCAAAAGACTGTATTTTCTACTAACAATAATCTACAATAATGTACATTAAAATCTATAAATATGTGTGTTGATTTTCCTTAATAAACGATCTGTTGCCTGGCCCTTGTCTTCTGTTGTTACAATACAAATAAAAAAATATATATTGACTTTGAAAGTACGTTATTCATCAAAAATACCTCTCCATGATTATTTTTATTAATATACACTAGTCGATTAGTGGATAAAAACAAATGCATTACTTTTTAGTGTTATTTAAAGTTGATGTATATGAAAAATAGATGTCATAATTATTATTTACTTCATTTTGCGATTTTAACAAATTTAATGAATATCTTAATAGATTAGCATAGCCACTCTGCTCTCTTTTATATACTTTAGCATATTTATTATACTAAAACTTCAAACAGTGCACTATGAATCAATTTGTGTGTGAATTAATAAATGGATGAAATTTAAAGAACTGCCACTTACCACACGGTCAAAATGTCAATAATTATTCATTCATTTAAAGTGTTATAAATACATCTTAAGTTTGCTCTTAAAACTGAATTAAGCTACATTCGTCCTGTTCCGTATCACTTTCAATATTGACGCTGATTATGACGGAACTCAACAATCAAGTAAACATTGGTGTACTAGTAGACAATAAGTAATATTGTGGGAAAACTGGAATAAAACATGACAGTACAAACCAGAGCAGATGGAGCAGAATTTGAAATCATAAGCGATCAGTTTTAAATTTGAATATCTGATTCTATGTACTCGACAAATAGATCATTGTACGAAACAGGACAGAAGTAAACAGTAATCATTATGTCGCCATTGAACCCGACCGATATAGCTTACTTTGATGTCAACCTTGTTCATCATGACTGACTAACGAGTTACCTTATCTAAGACCAATATTCCTGCAGTTCCCATCACGCCAAAAAAAATAAGTTGGATGGCTAGTAAACTGAAAGAAGTGGCCATCTTAGTTAGTTGCTTACACTGAGGAGGAGAATTAACGGCGGTGTTGTACTATGGATGGATTAAGGTAATAGCGTTAAGGTATTTCCTGTTACCCTCCTACTCTAGGAGGGACGAGGAATTAGAAGAATTTGGTAGCAAAAGTTATGCACTTCGACTCGCCCTACAGTGCCTCATAGCCAACTGTAAGCTCTTCTGTATGGAAGAAACACGGTAAACTCTACTTGAAAACCATATGCATGTCACTTATCTCAAATACTTATTTCTTGGACAATACCGTCACGCAACACTACTTTTTTTCCAAACACTCCAAGAATAAATCAACTTCCACAGTGTGGGCTAACTAAAAATCAGCAAACGCCCACACAGCACCGTAAGCATAGAATCGCCTGATTACCACCTTCCCTCTTCATCTTTCTTCTTTCAGATCATTGCTAACACTATACATCAGACAGTTTTCTTGCCTTCTCTTAGTCATAGGCATTGTCACCGTGCTCAGACAGGATAACAGCGTTCCTGATCTCGTATAACCACGTTGCCAACTTTATATTGGAACTTCCAACATCTGGACCTTGTATCAAATCGGCTTCGGATGTGTGTTGTGTCTCTGACACCCACAAACATTACCCCAGTGGACATAATAAATTTATAAAATTCACTCTGCGGTCGCCAGTTAACTCGTTGATTAGTCTACGTAGACTTCATGGTGAGCTGGAGACCAGATTTTCCACTACTTGGTTGGATCCCATTGATATGTAGTTGTCCAATATACGTTGTGTAGCACTGTGCAGTAATTCACACAGTCCTAATTCGAGGCTGTGAGGAATGACTGCTGAGAGTAGAACATATGAAAAGAAAGGCAACTGTGAAGATAAGTGCCTTCGTTCATTTGTTCAAGCTAGACGCAGAAAGATGACAAGGGTAGAGGTGTAGAATGTTAGGTAAGATAGGAAAATCAATCGATGAGGTTGTGAAGCTGTATCAATTGAAGTGACTATAATATATAATACATTTGTCAAGTCTCAATGGTCTGATCGAAATGCGTCATCAACCCACGTAACCTTTAACTTTTGACAATGATATGATTATGAGAGATAAACTGTGTTCGAAACGTCAACACAGAATATTCCTGTATAACACTGTGTGATTTTATCAAAATAAATTTTATCCATAATGGAGTTTTACTCTACGACAGTGCCCCAGTTTTATCCTTATATCTCTAACTTTTGGTTTAGGTCATGTGCAGACGCGACGACTGAGCTGCTGGGATTTACGAGACCCTAAGATTTAGTGGCTGGCTGCCAGTGGTATGGATCTAAACTATTCTCAGTGACGCAGATGCATCTACTCTATTATTAACGCCCAGATCCGTTAAATTTTCATCATTTTTCGTGTGATTGTTTTTCCACTACACTTCTGTTCCTTTGCGTTTTTTTTTCTGGCCTATCCTTTAGAGTATAGAGTGCGGCATCTCGAACTGCTGCATTTTTTTCAAAGTTTCATGTCGAAAATTGAATTCATCTGATACGGATATTTTGATAAACAAAACTAAGAATTTTAAATAATGTGAAATGACTGATGAACTACTTTTTTGGTCTAGTAGAAGTAAATGGAGTGTATTTTTAATATAAAATCTATTTGTAAGAATTCAAGTAGCTAAATTCACGATCCACGCCTCCACTAAATGGTAATCAAGTAAAGGTTATCATTAAATAAGAATATCAAGAAAGTGCTATCGAAGAGTACACTTGCAGTTACAAGTGCATTTTAGCTAGTGTAATATTATTCATAACGTCGATTAACTGATATTGCACTGTGCTTCCCTGGTCACTATAAAAACCGTCGATTACTTAATCTGTAATCTGCGTGTTATGAAGTATCATAACAACTCACAATAAAATGAAGCAAGAAAAAGTTGGTGAAAAAAGGCCAAATACTAGTCATTTTGCCACTAACTTACAAATTAATTGCAATTAAAGCCAAATTTTGTTGGAATTTGTTCACCAACCAGATTTGCAGTTTCACTACACTAGTCAATAGTTTGTAAAGAGTTGTAATGGAGATTTTCAGTATAAGGAGAATGAAATCAATCGCTCATTTCTAGTTAGATTCAGTATTGGTGGCTTAACTTCATATTTTAGTTTGTTTCCAAATGACTGTAAAAACAAGCTGTTACAAAATGAATGTTTACGGATACTTTTCCTGGTTTAAAAGAGTTTAAGTTATGTAATATGGAAGTTGGTAGTTACTTATTGAAAAAATCATACCTGATCCATTGTACGTTTAATAGTTGCTGAATTGGTAGTAGTAGTAGTAGCAGTTGTAGTAAAATTGGCATTAGGATCTTGGAAATGATGCGTACTTCCCGTTTCTGTTTCACTGTTTGAATAATCCAAATACTCTGCATGTGAAAGAGGATTGACTGTTGTCGGTAAGATTGAGTTGAGTAACATCGGTCGATCGGTCACACCAGTTGATGATGGCCAAATCATATCAGAAGATATACATTCTAGTTGTTGTGCATACCGGTTATTTTGAAATGATTTGGAAGAGTATGAAGACGACACTGCTTGATCTGCTAAAGCACATTCGAAATCATAGTGGTCAATTGCAGATTTTTGTTTGCAGTTTGTGATTTCATCAATAATTGTGTGCTTATTATCTTGCAAAACACGTGAATGATGATGCTGATGGGTTCTTAATTCTGAAGAAACTCCAATCGATGTTTGTCTAGCGACTAATTCACTTAATTTCAGACCAATTGTGGTAACCTGATATATTTTAAAAGTTAAAGAAAAATTGGTTTATCTGACATGATATGTTGAAGCAAGATGAGTTAATATTCAGAGGATTTCAACTTACAAGTAACCTAATGAGTGCTCTTTTCTTCATGGGAATATAAAAAAAGGCATTTACAGTAAAGCTTCATATTCAAAATACATTCGAAGATGGAGAAGCAACTGACTACATGACTTCAAACTAAGTGGCCTGGTTTTGTATTCTTTAAAACAAATACATCTGCATCTAACGTAAAACTCAGACAAGTACAGTAAGATTGAGAATTATCTAGCAATCAGGCCACATAACTGTAAACTCGTCAACCGACTACTTAAACACTTTACGTTTCCTACTCACTTACCATCTGTCCTTCTTAAGCTCCGTTTTTAAAATAAGAAGAAATATATAAAATTAAAATGACATGTTACAGTTCAACTTTTGTCAGTATATACTGAAACTTATAACTATTATTTCTTTTCTGAGTGTCAAGTGGGACATGGAGCCTCAGCAACATATCTTTTTTGAACATGATTCCCTGCTACCGACTGCCACTATGACTGTCTACAACCTTTCATTTTATCTTTACATGATCTCCTCTATGTCACTCTCGGACATCCACCTCACTGCTTCCCATATCTGTTCCACTCGAGGGTCTGGCACGTGATGTCACTTGAAGGCGTTCTCAGTGTGTGTTCAGTCCATCACCATTTCCCTCACTTTCTGGTCTTAGGAATGACTGGCGAACTAGAATTTAAATAACCATATTGTTTGTTGTCAGTAACTTACAACTACTAAAATCGACCACTTCTCAACCAATAAAACCCAGATAACATTTGTGCATTATGAAGGCTTTGTTTAATTGATAATGTTTATAAGCATTTTACTAATCAGACGTTTGATATGCTTATCTTTCTTGATGAATTTTAAAGACAACAGAGGTCTACACGTTTCAGGTGGTCACACCTCTCATCACCAAAGTCTCTAAAATTCTTGTAAGCGAAAATTCCTGAGCGAAAGTATCATGTAATACCAAATAATGTAGTCAACGAATAGAAGCTTACAAGTCTGGTGTAACTTGAAGTATTGAAGTTTCAAATGACTTCATACACACTTTTGACCAGACATTCCTAATCTTCAATTATACGTGTGGCACACAGTCTAGTGCACTATACTCTTATTTGTCTTACGATAAGGTAGATGACAATAACAAGAATTACAGAAGTGTAGGAATACATTCTAGATTCAGACAGAAAAGGCAAAAATTGCAAGAAAATGTCTGAGCTTTGCTTGATAGGCTGATAATCTCCTAGGATACTAAGTAATACAATGTCAATGGACATTATATGAAAAGATTTGTCGAATGAAGCCACAGAAGAAATATTTTACAGCAGAAAGAAATACTCGTCGATAATTCTACTTGGCATTGCAAGCAGCATGAGTGTTTTGGAAATTTTAAACAATTCAGAAGTTATAGAAACACGTCAAGAACAATTGATGAATAACCTGTGATTACGCCTGTACATTTGCAAAAAAAATCCTCTTCATACAGAAATACTGAAGATATGCTTTACAACACACCACTTGTTATAAATGCCTAGTAATGTCTCTCATTGAAGTACAGAGTGGAGTGAGTTAGATCTTAATTACTCAGAACTGGGATCGGCACTTTGGAAATTTTACGACCGTTAAGTAACGTAAACAAATTAAGGTCCTTTTATAATTGAATTTAAACACCTTATGTATAAATAACACAGCCTAAACAGTATATTTATGTTTGGAAGTTAGCCTAGTTTTCTGAATACGAACTAATAGATCAGTTGAAATATAAGTGAGGGAGACTGAAATCAGTTTCCAGCATTTTGTGAATAAATGCTTCGGTAAAGAACGCTAATGAGTTCATGGTCACTTGTTCTGCATGCGTATTCATTATATGGCTGCTTCACATATCTACATATAGAATGGATTTCATAATCATTGTGATGTGAGACATATCTCAATGTGGACTTCATTACCCAGCAACATCAGTTAGGGAAACTTTACAAGTCAAGAGGAATTAGACAGCTGTTTCATTCCAGTTTGAAACTCTTCACCATTACACTTTAAGATTACCAAAACGGAAGGTTGACCATTCAGTAACTGGGCTAAAGTCCACTGACACATGAATTCTAACTTCTAAAAATAACGCAGAAATCAATGTTACTTTCACTTAAGTTAGAATCAGGAAACTTCTTTCCGGTTTCTGCTGTTTTCCGAACAGGTATCACACGTCATTGCAACGAAGTCGTCAAACAAACACGAGGAAATGATGAGTTGGCAACAAACAATTACATAAGATAAACTGAAAACCCTTTAACCTTCTTTATAATGCTGTTTCAGAGCAGAAGGAACTATATCGCAATAGTGGTCGACCTCGGTAATGAAATAATGTGAATAACGTACTGTTATTGGGTATAGCATAGTTGAGAGTTAGCCTTATGTCGTTCAGTGTACCAAAATAGATAATAATTTCACTGTGTACCATGGGGAATAAATATATTAAGTATGGAATCAATAATAACATTGAGTTATATGATGTCTTGGACATCGTCTATGAATTTGTGACGCATCAATAGACGCTAATTCAAGAAGAATATTTCAAAATTATGGGGTTACATTGAGAACTAGCTATACCTCAGCTTCTTCTGGTCACAAAATAAACACACCTAATTCCAATTCATACGAAATTAAGCAGGATGAAAGTAAACATAACACTGCTTTGTTGTATAATATGCAAACATTTGACCAAACTTTCACAAATAACATAAAGTCAATAAAAGGTAATTTTATTACTTTAGTTAATGTCATTAAAAATCAGCTATATGATATCTTTTAACATGAAGTAAATAAATATGCATATCATTACACAAGAACTAGTGAGTAATTGTTTATATTAGTGTCAGTTAAATAATGATAATGCCCTATTAATTTTATCAGACATGACTTAACGCAGACACATACATAAACAAAATATGTATATGAAAAAGGAGTTTTAGTAATAAAACTTCGTATAGCTTCGTATTTTCATCTATTTCACAGAATACTACAAATTGATTGAAAAGATTTTTTCCTGTCCGCAATTCACTAACATTCACATGTCAACAAGACAGGATTATTATGGTAAATTACTAGCAAGTGCATTTCACCTTTGTTTCACTTTGAACTAATCCTTGAATGATCAATAAATAGAAATAAAATGAAGTTGTTTTTTTTTCATTCACTAGATTAGTGTTTCAAGTTGTAGTAGTCATAGCAATCAGAGGAGGAAGATAACTCTCATTGATTACGAAAAAGTAGAAATAAATATCATGGTTAAAGAAAACAACACGATGAACATTGAATTTTCTTGATTAAAAGAAGAAAAAGATTGAAATGAACCAGTTAAGTGATAAAAATTATTTACCCATGACAAGCCAATCAAATCGGTATACGCTGGTGGAGAATAGACAATAGTATTTTCTGTAGTATCAACAATAATCGCCATCAACGATTTTGAATGCACGCTCAATGTAGTCTTTGTAATGGTATTGTTATTATTATTAGTAGTAGTAGTAGTAGTAGAAGTACCAGTAATAGTTGAGTTAAAATTAGGTGGAGCTGTTGGGAGAATAATATCGCCATCACCAACAGACGTATAAAAGTGAGATAACTCAATTGAAGACAAGGATGAATCTGACTCTGCCGACTGATAATCTAATAGTGGTAATTTACGTTGCAATTTGACATTCACATCTGGAAATAAAAGAGGTAAATAAGTTATAACTCTGTAGAACTAACCCAAACTCTAAATCATATTTATTGCAACCAAGTTCATAGTAGTATACAAGTGAATAAGAGAATGTAGGTATCGTCATATTCGAAACCAAGATTTGACAGATTAAGAGACAAATTTATCAGTGTACGAATGGTTACTTTTGAATTTCTATACAGCTTAATAAATGCAAATGACAAACATGATAAAGAGATGCAGTGTACTGATTCAGCCAGTTGACTTTCACTGTATCGTGTGTCCGAATTCTGCTTAGCCTACTGAAGTTTAAGCGAACACAATATTATTAGCCTTCACTTAATAGATGCAAATCATAGCTAAGTACATGAAAATGCATATAGTCTTGGAGCTTAATTACATTTAAAATATAAGAGTATCCATGATAGGCAAAGAAGACTATTAGGTTTGACAGAACTTTCAAGGATATAAAGACCAACATTCGTGCATGTAACTATCAAATATAGGGTTTATGCACTCATCTTTAAATAAATGGGTCTACATAGCCATATAGCATTAATTTCCACGTATATCATGTAAGAATAACTAAAACTACATGTACACTGAAGAGAAAATGAATCCAAATAATATTTATACAAAACAAAAATCAAATGTCGCACATTATTAAGATTGATCGGAAGTGTGTAGTAACTAGCGCAAAATTTATGTCCCCATTTCTTTTAATAAAGTAGAAGAAAACAAGATTAAAAAGGTTGACCAATTGAGAAATGAATTTAACTTGCTTAACATCATGCCAAAAGAAGCAGGATTTATCGAATTCATGAATCTCAGTGAGACTCAACTGTTTTCAGCTCTACATATATGATCTTAAATGTTGTTATGCAATGAAGGAGTAAATACATCTAGAAAAAATACAGAGCAATCCACTGAGTGAAGTGTTGCAACATAATGTGACTACTTTGCACAATAACATACTAGTAACAAAATCATTTACACAGACTAGACAGCTGACAAGTTCTACCAAGATCTTTGAATGCAATAAATCCTATTTTAAAAGAAAAGACGTCCAGTGAAGTTACTCTTTTCAGTGATGTCATTCTTCAGCTGTCTGTCTGTCTCTGTCTGTATTCGACATAGGACTTTGCACCGATGTGCGGCAGTTCAAGTCACCACACCTTAGCTGCTATCATTATTATTATTTCCATTTTATATGCTGCATGTTTTTGACATTACTCCTATTGTAAATGTGGAAAATTTTCTGTGTGATTAATTTTATTTATAATTTGAGGAAATTAGATGCAATATTGTGATTAATGCTGAAAATTCCATTCTGTATCACAAGTACTGTTTTTGGAATAAAGTAAATTATTATTATTATTATGTAGCACACAAAGCAAGAGAAGAAAGTAGAAGAAATGCATAATATAGACAGTAAACAGAGGTGAGAGACAAAGGAATAGCAGTAACGAAGAACAATATAGTTTCATTGGAAATCATAAGTCGCATATATGCAGTGAGTCATCCTAGCGTCAAGATGAATATTTCCGAAGATGTGTCATTAGAAGTGTTAATTGCAGACGACAAATTACGTAATAGGAGAGGCATTAATCGGATAGAGACTAAAATAAAATTAAATAAGTAGACTGGATTATGTAATATAATTAACGGGATTAGGTAGAATTCAACTAAAACTGAACGAGTCAACTTAATAACAGTAGTAATACAGGGTAGAAATTTAGCAGAGGTTGAGGGAAAAAATTATACAGTTAAAGACCAGAAAACAAATACCACGTATTCGGTGTTAAGACAGTTTAGGTCCATAGAAGATTGATTGACTGAACACACTTCTTTATGTAGAGTTCGGAATTTCAAATGTGCTTCTGGGGTTTGAAGAACCTTGATTCGTACTCTTTTAGCATGATTTTCGTCTATTCTGTAGATAAATTTGAAGTTGTTTTGCAGGTTAGCTTGGTGTCCAGTTTCAATCAGGTGTTCCAGAATAGAGCTAAGGGGGATTTTTTCTACTTTATAAGACCATGAGTGTGTATCTGATGATACGAGTGCGAATGCTGAGTGCATGATATATCTAACTACCTAACTTTGGTTATCGTTTAATCTGTATTGACCTCATCCGTCTAAAACAGTCCTAAATCACAACAGATTAATGATCTAATTGAAAAGTAAATATTTCTTCGCTCAATCTTTCTGTTTTCCAAAATAAAATTATACAATTTTAAAAGTCTAGAAACTAAAATCACAGTCTGAGGATCAATAGGCCAGCAGAAAGAAGTAGGCATATATATTCTGTTAATTGACGATTGAATATGAGTAGTGTCTTTGCTTTATTTATTTTGTGCATTTTGTAAGATTAAAAAAAATTTTCCGACACCTCTATTCCTGTGTTTGCTTCTGTGAGAATAACCTTTCATTGTATTAAAAAAATGCGTCAATTTTAAGTCATATATTTACTCACATTTATTAATTGTAAATCTCTAAGGTATTTTAACTTTCAAGGCATTTGATTGCTTAAATTTTAGAAGCATTTAAATCATAATTTTATGATCCACGAAAAGATTGATAGCTTGAATAGCACGTGAAACTACTTTCCCAAATCTTGCCAATTTGTGAATTATTAAGGCAAAACTGGAAATCCGCCATTCATAAGATGTCTGAATATCTGATTGATTTTGGCCACAGATTTATAAGACTTACTCTTTTTAACTATCTAATAAGTCAGGGCAAACAGTTTAAGACGAATATCTAAAATCTTCAATCTATAGCATGCTTGGAAGTGGATCGAGAGTCTTCGCGAAAGGGAGACTTCACATGCTAATTCCTACGGCTTATTCATGTCTAATTTCACCATATGTCTATAATATCGTTGTCTGCAACACTGAAGACAGATTGGGATGAGATGCGTGGTGGTGAAATATGTCCACCATCCAAAGGAACGTTATGTAACACTCAGAATGCAAATAATATCGTTCTGCTATGCCACGACATGCAGAGTGCCCAAACTTTACTTGAGAAAATGGTGCTTAGTGTTGCATTATGTGTATTTTCCACTATTGGAATGCAAAGTAGTTTTGCCAGGAGCTTAAGGATGCACTTGCCTTGACAAATAATGGATAAATTTGTATACGTATGTAGTTCAATGTAATGCTAATTTCATAAACAGGCAAGTTAAATAAAATGTTTTTTTTTTCAGTGCTTTTGTGCGCGAAGTCTTGCTCTACAGATGTGATACCTAGTTTCACCAGAAGAGAATGTCGCGTGACTTTTCGTGCTTGACAATAAATGTCTTCATTGACATCGGCAGGTGACATCATGTATGTGATTCGTAGATCCAGAGGTACAAGTTCAGAAAAGTGGATTGTTGAATGAGTGCAATTTTGACCTTATTTCTTAACAATCGTATTAACCATGTACACTTCAGTCGTCTCAGATAACTGTCTTGCAAGTGCATTTGAATTTAATTCAATAAAGACTAACAAGTTACCAACTACAATATCGAATATACTATTTACTTTATTGAAATAAATCCCACAATCAGACCATTCTAAGTACTCTGCTCCCAATCCTTCCCTCATTATCACATCCAAAGCTCCTTTTGAAAGAAATTAATTTCTATCTCACAGAGAGTTACACACATACCTTCTCACCCCAACAATATTTCAGCCTAAGTGCTAGTAACACTACCCAATACTCGCTTGACATGTATGATACCATCGTTCAAGGTTATCATGTCTAGGAAATGCACAAACAAACTGTCTTATGGGGAGAATATAGCATTTAATTTTGCTTTGCATACAGGTAAATAATTAGTATCCTTTAACTTTTTAAGTGCTACTTACCTGATTCAAATAGCGGATGAAGCCAGTTGTATATACACAAAGCATTACTAGCTATGCGCACAATAACGGCCTTTTCTAGCACTGGTGTAGACAAATTGTGTTGTCTGAATATGGTTGCAGCAAGGCGATAGGTCGGAGCAAAGCTAAGTTCATTGTTGACACTTAAGGAACCACCTCTTGATAAACTTTCTGATATTTGCTCATGATCTTCTAATTCGGAATGCGTCATCTTCTGACATTTGTTCCTCAGAACATCTGCAGCCAGGTTTTGTTGAATCGGAAGAGCCAAGTAAAGTTCAACCAGAGCTTGGTTTTCACGATGCCTACGTTGTTTAGCTGCGATACGAGATTTCTCGCGACGCTCGCAGGCTTGTCGAGCTTTGAAGTTGTTGTCTTGTCTCGTTTGCGAGTTGACGGTGTCAGGGATAACTTGCTTATTTTTCAATGGTGAATTATTTTCATGGGTATAATCTGTAGACTTGTATTGTTCTTTTTCTTGCAAAGACACATTTCTTTTGCGAGATTTGCTGTAGTTTCTTCTAAAATGAGAATAGAAAGATGGAAACTTGAAAACTAGCGAAAATTGACGACACTCCTAGTGAAGGTACGTCGTAACCATAAATTGAACAACTACTTCTATGATAAGTTTTGTATTCTGATAGGGTTTGAAGAGTAAGCAATATTAAACCGATGGTATAACGTGTGGAATAAACTATATTGAAATATTTGGTGTTGCAATATTTGTGCCTTTTTTCAGGCATTGAATCGACAATCAAAAATAAAATACAACCGATAAAACGGTAGGAGTGAATAATAACAAAACAGCATCAATTAGACTTTTAAGTAACACGACGTACGATAATCATTAGGTGACTTCGATATACCGGACAATGTCATCTGTTTAAGTGAGATTCAAGGTATATCAGCAGACACGATGAAGACTAAAAACCTGCAAAACCTTGATTGAACACTCGGTAGTAGGCAAATAGTGTTATGCATCTAGGTGCAGACTGAATTCTATCAGCACGAATTGATTAGTGGTAACGTCTCTGGCTGCAGCACTGAGTACCACCGGTTCCGATGTCGGAGGGGACATGAATTCCTTCAGGGTTGCAGATAATTATTGCTTATAAGTGCCAACAAGCACGAAAACCAACTCCGAGGATTCCTGCCGAATGTCTGCATAATCTAATAGCCTACATAACATTTATTAGTCCGGACAGAAACCACGAAACAACCAACTAACACCCTTATGCATACCTCAAGATAATTCATAGGTGATGCAAACCATACACTGAAATGGTCAGAGTATCGCAGTGTCCCATTTATCCATATGGTAACATTTCTATATACAGAAATGCGTATATGTGTGGTATGTTCGGTAAAATAATGTTACACAATCACAAAATGACAACTATTATATTGGCAAATGATTTCCACATTAAACTAGGGATGTCAATAGTCTTGAAGGGAAACGATTCCCTCCGTATGAGAAGTGTCCCGTATTCATGCCTTTTATGTAGCTGCATCAGATCAAGCTAAACCAGATAATTGAAACAAACAGAGTGATAAGAATTCCTAAGCAATCTGCTGAACTTACACAGGATAGCATACTGGAGAACCAGGAGGAGCAGCACTGGGTAAGCACATTTCGCGATGTAGTACCGCAGGAGACAATTCCAGCGGTCAATTATCTCGAAAAGTGAAACAGTAAAACAAATCCAATATCGAAATTGTTTTTTACGAACCGGTATAAAGCAATCTGATTTCTACGTGCTCGCTTCTTGATTGTGAGGTAAAAGTTCCCTGTCTTCGGTAAATTTCTGGTTAGTTTCGCCAGCCACTCGACCATCGCGTCTTTGGATGACTCTAAAAGAAGTAGTGCTGTGATTAATTATGTGTTGTCTGTAGTATTCAGTGACTTAAGACTTTGTTACCACTACGAATGGAGTTGATCCTTCCACCAGTTGGCCACCGGGATAGTCGGAAAACGAAAAGAGATAATAAGAACAAATATAATTAGAGTAGGTTATTCAGACTAACAGACAGAAAAAGAAATAAAGAAAACGTAAAGAAAGACAGTCAGTTAAATTTGAAGTTTCTATATATGTACACATATGCAAATATGCATATGTGTGCGTAATATCAATAATAATAATAGTGCGTGAGTGTAGTAGTTGGAATAGTCAGGATAGTAAGACAGAAGTGGATGTAAAGAAGTAAAACGATGAGTTTAGATTCCATATTAGTTTGTTTATTTGATATATCACACAGTGAAACAGTATTATTTACTGGATGACGTTTCGAACAAAATTTATTGTTCATAATCATATCAATTATAATCACACGACTTTGACACTTGAGCTTTATAGTCTGCCATTTAATCCTGTATGAGATTTCAGGTGGTAGGCTATTTGAACGCATTCTTTGTGTTTCTGCATGATTGTCCAGCCTTCGCTTAAAGGTGTCCATAGACGATTTCATAGCTACTTCTGCCGGTAAGGAGTTCCAGGGATAGAAAAAACGCATGGGAAAAAATTTGGAACTGTGATCGATTCCTTGCCCTCTGGTTAGCTATCCTTCTGGGATTTCCACGAAGAAGCCTATACCTACGCAATGGCAGAACACCTTTTTTGGGTGATTTTGGTCATTCGTTAGTTTGTCGGCAGTTATCAAATGCCCACTAAGCCGACGGTAGCTAAGTGTGAATAGACCTAATTTGTTTAGCCTTACATCATACAACTTATTTCGTGGACCAACCGCTGCGTTTGTCGCCCATCTTTGGACTCTTTCCAAGAGGTTTACTTCCCTTCTAAGCAGTGAGGGTGCAATGATATTATGAGCTTCAAGGTGTGGTCCGACGTATGTTTTGTACAACCTTAGAAAAACCTCAGGATTGCGTGCACCTGTCTATGTGTCAAGTAAATGACAGCATATGTCATCGTTATATTCTCAGTGTAACTTACTCATGTGACCAGTTTCCCACCTCAAATGGACCTAAGTAACGCTCCGACGTTGTGCAGGATAAGCTTTCGTTGCACAGGATGTGACTTGCATTCTGCAGCCTACAGGGGCGTAATTTCATCACTCTGCATTTATCAGGTTGAAAGTCATACCACTGGCAACCACCGAGTGTTCCAGAAGCTTTGGATCTGTCTGCAGCATGTCTGAGTCTTCCGAACACTTTATCGCTCTCCAAATCATTAACTCGTTAGCGTAAAGGAGAGTCGGGCAGCTTAGAGGGCATGGTAGTTCATTAGTAAAAATCAACAACATCAGTGGATCTAGGATAGAGCCCTGAGACACCCTTGATGACGAGTTGCTTCAAGATAATCGGACTCGATTGACCTTAGTGCAAAATTGCCGTTCAGCTAGGCAGTCCTTTAACCATGACGGAAGTGGTTTACCTATACCTGCCTTACTTATTTTGTTTTTAGGAGGAGGTCACGGTAAACTGTGTCAAATGACTTCTCAAAGTCTAGGAAGACCACATGGACTGGAACATTCATATCCCAACATGATGTCCAGTCGTCCTAAGCTGATAGTAGGTTTGTTACACATGGTCTGCCTTTCCTGAAACCATGTTGTTTTATGGTGTCTATTAGTCCTATCGAGGTGCTCCCTGATATGATCCTCAATTATGCTTTCCAGTACTTTTAATTCTACTAAGAGTATGGCTACTGGTCTATAACAAGTGCCACTCCGCTTATCCCCACCCTTGAAGATCAGAGAAAGAATAGCTCTTTTCCACTTCCTTGGCAGTATTCCCAGAATCAATAGAGTATTGGAACAAGTCTCATAAGGGCCTACAGAGAGCTTCGGTGCATTATTTCAGAACAGGTGGCCTGATGTCGTCACAGCCTGGGAACTTCCCAGGTGTGAATCTCTGTGGCTTCCCTAGTACTACTGTCGGGTTTATTTGGGGAGTAGCCGCTGGGTTTTCCTCCGGTGAAATAGTAGTGCCACCAATTTGGTCCCTACCGGTAATACCCGCATTGCTGTTCAACTGTTTGGCAAGGGCTAAAATGAATGTTTCAGTCGTCTCTAGACTAGTGACGTAATTACGTAGTGTCCCCCTGGAAATGGTCGCGGAGAGCAAAATCGAAACTTATGACTGCATGGTCGCTACTTCCTAATGGACTCATAACCTGGACTTTTTCGGCAAGCAGTTGGTCACTAGTTAGAATAAGGTTCAGTTTCGATGACTTCCCACCAGGGCCTCACCTAGTGTCGTCTCCAACATTCTCAATCAGCCTTGTGTTTCGTTTGGTCTGTAGTAGATTTCTACCGAATTTCCACTGAGCATAACCCGTGCCAAGGTTCAGGGATAAGGCGTTAAAATCTTCAACTGGGTTGATTTGGTCATAACCCAAGTCTCGTATCCCTGTGGTGGTGCTGAGCAGTAGTTGGTTGTGCTCTGCCCCACAGGTGGGTGGTCGTTAGATGCCACCCGGTAAATGCTTGGCGTGGCTGATGGTAAAATGACACCATGTGGAGCCTAGGAGTTTAATGAGTCGCAGGTCAATGGCATGTACACATTTAAGTAGCTTGTCAAAGTATATGGCTACGCTACCTGCCTTCCGTGTTAACCCTGTCTCCCCTGACCAGAACCATATCGCTTATACTGATTTTGTTGTCGGCGATGGTGGGGGTTAGCCACGTTTCAGTAAGGATGATTATTTTAAGTGTGACTGGAGGTTTCTGACTTCACCTTTTTTCCCTCTCACATTACTATACAGGCATCTGGCAGTGAGTCTCACAACATCAGCGTGTTGTGGGTAGCTGACGTTACGTTGTCTACTGGTAAAGGACTTTAAATTAAGACTAGTTGGCCGATTCTGACGGAACCGGCCGGTTGTCGTTTCTATCACGCTGAAATTATGTACGACTCGTTTTAGACCTACACATCATAGGCTTTATAGTAATATTCTTAGGCGGTGACACGGAGGTTAGGACGCTCGCCAACCACGCATATGGTTCGTGGTTTGATCCCCAGCCGATGCACACATGATATCAATGGTTGGCCTGCTAAATTTGGGCTGCCGATATCATATGCTGAAAATTCCATGCTTGTACCAAAATACTGTGTGGAATCAAGATGTAATAAAATGGAAATCAATTTTAAGTTTAACAACAATGTGTCATTCAGTAGTGTCGAGAAAATCGACTATTTCTTTCAGTCATCAAAGCCTTCTATAATGAGATAAAAAGTTGGACAAAAATGTGACTGTCCCCTGCAGATGGCTTCCAGAAAGTTAGCGATAGCCTAAAGTAGTTAAATTTCTGTGTCATTAATGCAACTTCATCCTCCGAACAACTGTAGTTATAATTTCTCGCCTAGAATGTAGGTTGGCCAGATTCACAGACTACAGCGTATCTGCATTAATTCTTCCGTTTCATTCACTTTAGTACTTTCGTAACCTATGCGTTGTTAAGCATATCTTTGTAACAACCTACCACACATTGTAGCAGATGAAATTTCTGCACTGTCAGTTTGCTGACATATTTGTCTATTGATTAAGCTATCATTATTAACGGAGTTGTCTGTTATGATTTCATCCAAAGCCCAAAGCAGTGTCACCATAATTATTTCATTCGTCTTGTGAACGCATTCTCTCACGGAAAAGAAAGAAGTGTCTAACTATCTTCAAAGACCATTCAGATAGTTCATGTTTAACATTCATTCTATTCACCAGCTAATTTTCGATCCCATCATTCAGTTTTTGACGTTAGGTGATGCTCAGGGCTGGCCAACGTAAAATAAGCTTTCCTGACAACTTACATTCGAGGTTGAACAGTTCATTGCTATTAGTAGGCAGAAAACAAACGCGACGTGTAATTTTTCCTGCTAGTTTAACAACACTACTTGTAACATTGTGGTCCGCAACCCAACTTCTGAATTCATTTGAGCGAACTGGCCTTTAACATTAGAATAATGAAGTGAAATGTTGGGTAGCACGGACAATGGCTGCGAAATAATTTTGGCCAATGCAAATAGCACGCACTAGTGTAATTTATCACGAAAACCGCGAACTAGTGAACATAAGAATCATAAAACATGGTTTTGATATGATTATGAACAATAAATTTTGCTCGAAATGTCATCCAGTAAATAATTCTATTTCACTGTGTGATACATCTAATAAACAAACTAATATGGAATGTTTCTTCATACTTAGGGAAATAAATTATCACTATTTTTTCCATTATAAATCAATCTCAATAATAAGTTCCTAGTTAAAATCCATTCTTGTGAATGTAAGATGATTAAATAACATCAGTCTTAACTCACTGATGGACATGGTTTGGCACCGATTGGTTGTCAGAGATATAGAAATTAATGCGATCTGAATGAACAAGTTATCAGATTGTCTTAAACAGACAATCACTGTGGTCTGGTGACTAAATGGGTTAGTCAATATACCATGTCCGTTTAGGAGACAGTTTCCGTTCTGACAATTCTTTGTAGTTTCCGATTGCTGAAAATAAAGCACATAATCGGCCAGATTAAATTACGAGAAACTTTCTGGAAGTCGTATCCTCAGAATGAACTGTGTTTGGTACTACTCTGATTCATTATTATTATTATTATTCTTGCTTCATTTAAAACTACCCTTTATCAGTAGCATTATCTTAACTCACTTCAACACTATTATTATTATTATCATTATAACTATTACTATTGATACTACTATGTTTGCAATTCTTGTTATATTCTCTAATGACTAATTGTTTATCTAAGTGGTGTAATTGAAGCGTAATGCAATTTCTCTTAATTTTGATCTCTCGTACTCTCTCTCCCCTTATCTATTTGAACATGACCAGGAAAACATTCGCACCTGTCTTTCTGCATGACTAATTCAATGTAGTTTGTTTACTTACCAGTCCTATATTTCCCAGTGTAATTTCAAATTATATATACCCATGTATGTCGAGTATTCAGCTGACGAGTTCCACCGAAATTTGATAAATTCATTAAATCCTACTTTATTAACTTTTACTGCTTGTTTTAATTTCGTTCGAGTGAAGACCTTTCGTTAGCTCGAGTCGCTGTGATTTCAGTTTGAGAGCGCTTCGGTAGCTTTAATGCTCACTAAAGACTCTGCCAACTTACATTTACATATTTGACTTATAATGGGCAGCAGTGGATGACTCCCGGAAATTATTAACCCACCTTTATTCATCACTAAACATTGCGTGCTACCTGTCGCCATTTACGTCGACTGGTTTGGCTTATGGTATGTAGTCAAGCACCCACATCATCTAATCCGTTATCTTATTTCGGGCGATCAATTTCTTGTTTTGATTTGACCTTAAAACTACTGCTTGGTCTAAACAGGAAAGGTATATAGAGAATTGGAGGACACGTGTTTGAGATTGTGTACCCAACAAGACCCCTCTTCAGAAGTCCGAACTATGACCTGAACTTCTTTCCAACCTAAAGTTCAAGAATAAACTAACTTTCGACCTACAGTCAGCGTAATTCTTCATGCTATCAAACCATGACATCAACTATTTTTTCGAAGAAAGTTTTATTTATCGCCGCAATTTGTATTTCCCTTGATCCACAAAACAGATGTGGTCAACTACTCGTTTGACGGTTGGATGTGACTAGCAGAAGGCCTTGAACCTAGGTTTCGGATATCGAACTCACTTTCTTTCTGAAATTTGAACCCAGGCCACCCAGTGCTGAAGCCACAGATGTCACCACCAAGTTATCCAGGACCATAATGGATACTTTTATTGGACACTAGGTAGTAACTAATGTCGTGGATGTAGTCTCTCACTGCAACAATGTGTGACCTGGGTTAGAACTTCACAAGGGACATGTGTTCCATCAGTATTTCAGATAAACCTTGCTGACGAGTGCTAATGAGCACGTAACCTACGTCTAAGTCTCCCAACTGATCGTTCCTAACCACCTAACCAGAGTTTCTAGTGCACCATGATGGAGAGCAACTAAGAATGGTAGCCACATTGCAAAGTTGACTGACAGAACTCAGTCTGCACCAAACGAAGGACTAGATGTATGACAATGTTTGCTATGTAGTGTTCAAACAAAGTAATATCAACTTCTATCGAAATCTGAGTTCCATTACAAGAAAGAAATAAGGACCTAGAGAATTCAGATGAGGTCTTGAATTTGCCTAGTCAACCCTTGAATGTTAGCCAGCAGTGAATTATGTTCGAAATACATACCAATAAGCAATACTTTCCATCTTGTGACATATCTGATGACAAAGAGTAGGACCCTATAATGCGCTATCAGTCATCCACTATTATAATAAGTAGTGAGGAAACTGGTTGTGGACTATATTCTCTCATTTACTACCTTGAAGAATTCGTGGTTAAGGAGTTGTTGCTGCATTTATCCACTACATTTTTACATCAAATGAAAACAAATTAACAAGAAATAGGAAGAAGTTCAATAAACAGTCCTAAACGAGAGTCACTTTTTGGAATCATGGTGGTGAAACCAGCTAAGCTATCAAAGCTTCATTAAGAAACAACGTAAGCTGATGCGACTGAGTGCCAAATGGATGAACTCGACTGAATATCTTCACTCGTGAAAGCTAACACACAATTTCATCCGTCATTGAAGGTGTGGACCACTGATTCCAGTGGACTGTTTGTTGCTACATACTGATGTAGGCTTTATTCCCTCTAGTTTTCTATAAAACTCTAGTTACAGTACACTAAGACACTTATCATTTATCCAGTTTATAATGGTTTTCGACCTCGCCTTGTAACCGGAAACTTCTGGGTCTGAACCCTAGTCAGTGCGCAGTGCCAAAATGTCCCAGACTAGAACAAAACAAATGTCCAGTACTCAAAGGTTTTCCAGTGGTTCTCTAACTAATGCATCTCGTGATCAAACATTTACCCAATTAAATCGCTGCAAACCAACACTTGATAGTTTATTTTATCGGAATTACCAGTGTTCCTCGTCAACGTTGTCTCTTTACTAATTCTTAATCAAGACAGTTCTAACAATAACTGCCAAGCATCTATGTGTGGGAGTAGATTACAATATAAAAATGAGATTAATTGGTAAAACTTTATTTATGAAATTCATGAGAAATGTTTATTAACCTTTTATTCCAAGTGGAGAAATGAACAGTTGCACTGTCCCATAGCCCGTATATTAAATATCACTGATCATTACAAAGAATTAATCCAAAAGGAGATATCTGTAAATAAAAATGGTAATTATATGCATGAAAAAGAGAGAGAAGGTAGAAATATACTAAACTCGGAAGGTGACAAATTCAAAATGATATAGTACATTATGATTGATAAAACTGATATAACTTATGAATGTACTTAATCTTATATTGATTTTTATTCAAATATCTAATCAATTCCACTGATATATATATATATATATATAAATGAAGTAAAAAGTTGTGTAAGTAACTTGATGTGATTATGAGCAATAGTTCGTGCTCGAAACGTCATCAGTTAATATTACTGTATAACACTGTGTGATTTATCAAAATAAAATCTTATCTATAATGGGGTTTTACTCTACCACAGTGCCCATGTTTTATACTTGGATCAGAAGTGGTCCTTCTCGACAGAAGTGACTATATTAAAAAAAATGGATGATACATTGAAAGGCACACAGAATTTTCAGAAACTTGGGGAGAAGAAAGAATGAATTAAGCAGACGTTTGAAGAGACTAAGGGAGGAAAATATATTTCCTGAAAGTTTATATGAAAAAATCAGGCCAACGGACATGTAAACGCCAAAATTGTATGGCCTACCTAAAGTATATAAACAGGGAGTACCGTTAAGACCAATACTTGATATACAGAATTCGCCTTACCATGCTCTAGCTAGATGGCTAGTAAATATTTTCAAACCTTTGCATGAGAAGATAGTGAAATATAGCGTCAAAGATGCATTTGAATTCGTAGACAAAATCAAAGATATTAATATCAAGGATAAAACTATGATATTTTTGAACATTACATTTTTAATCACAAATGTACCTCTAGTAGAAGCGGTTAAATACATATCTGAACAAGTGTAAAACAAGTCGATACATATTAGCATTCGGATGGCAATCCTAACAGAATTGTTATTTCGGTGTACCATGAATGAATTTCAAATTTGATGGCATACTTTACAGACAAGTGGACGAAGTGGCGATGGGTTCACTATTGGGTTCCATTTAGGCAGATTTGTTTCTAAGTTAACTAGAAAATGGATCTTTAAACAACTATATCAAAAATTCCTCATCTTATTGCCGGTATATGGATGACATCTTGATTGGAATTCAAACACAATAATAACTCAATTCAATGAAGTACATTCTGCTATGAAATTCACACGCGAAAATGAATCCCAAAGTAGAATTGCCTTGATATAAGAATAAAACTTGTGCACTGTGGTAGAGTGTAATTCCATTATGGGTAAATTTTATTTTGATAAAGTCTCACAGTGCTATACAGTAATGTTTACTGATGACGTTTCGAGCACAATTTATTGCTCATAATCATATCAGGGTCACCTTGGTCGATGCTCTAGGAACTTGATTTTTCATGCACGGGAATATCTACCAGTGCGGCTAAGCAAAGATGTAGTAAAAACCATGAACCGTTCGATATTAGACCACATTGTCCAAACTGGTAGCATGGAGGAATACTTCTCTATCGTCTACGTGGTAGCAAATAAATTGCCAAAAACATCCAAGTACCGCATACTGCAAACAGCAGAAGCTACCTCCATTCGCCTGAAAAAACCGGTGATCTGTATGCAGAAGAAGCAAGCCCAGCCACTATTACTACCTTGGCTTTTAGTGGAGACCATAAATTTATGAATGTGTATTATTATCGTTTCTGATATTCAGTGTGTTGTTATGTTGATGCTATCGAACTGCAATCCATTGATATTACTATTGATTCGATGTTATTTAAACAACATTAATGCTCTTAATAACACTAATTTATTTACTGTTATATATTTATGTAACTCTAAGACATGATGATGAAGTTATCGAAAAGAATATTCTTTGTTCAGTAAGCATTATTTTGAAAAAATTCCAATGGGCATTTTTAATAATTTAAGACAAAAATATATAATTCTTACATATTGTTGAATTGTGTATTTCAATAAAAATTCAATAAAGTGTATGATGTCAACCGACATTATTGAACATAAAGTAATAATAAATAATAACCCACTTACCATCAAGCGAACAAATTTGAATATAAATTCAAAAAATTCAGAACGATGTGTTTTATCTCTTCTTTCGTACAACAGGTCGAGCTTTAATAGGAGTAGAGTTTGCATTTAGTTTACGAGAACTATTTGGTTTATTACTGACTGAAGCTGTTCGTTCACTTTTGGAATTATTATGAGGTATTAGTGATGCATTGTTTACATTTAGGGAGAGACTGCCATTGTTCATATTTCCAGGGAAGACTTTCGTCAGTCGACTACTAGATAGTAAAACTTTCTTGGGAGGTTCAATAGACTCTAAATCCGATGAAAGAGGTAATTCCGAACCCTGTTTTGACATTAAAAGAAGACAAATACAGAAATCTATAGTGCATTAGCTTCAAAACGCGGTGAAATATTAAATTTTAACAGAATATCATATATATATATATATATATATATATATATATCGAACATCAAGTAAACAAACAAATTTTAATCCGAATAACTCCCTAGTTTCTGTAGATTAAAAGGCAGTTTAGTCAATAAAAAGTTCTGTGAGCTGGGATTCCTTTTCTGTTTGCAAGCATCCCCTGACATTGCCGAATAAAATTTCCTCTTCAACAAATTATTTTCGAAAATAACACACTTGCTAAGATAATAAGTTCTATTAAGGAAATATATTCCAATATGTGTTAATAATCAACAACTTCCAGAATTAAAATGCACTTGCACAACAATAAGATCAAAATAAGGTCTACAAAAGAGCATTAAATTAAAACACACGAGAAAACAAAATTATGATAATTTAAAAACCTGTAACAATATTCCACCAATGAGATACATACTATATAATTTTGAAATCAACATAAAAAATCTTGCACACAGACACCGTGTAAGCTGCTTGAAAAACCAATAGTCAGTTTAAATGCATAATAAAATAATTCGATATAACACACAGAGATAAAGTATTGATATAAGAATAGAACTTGAGGGATTATATAAATGAAGTTGGAAAGTTGTATGAGTGACTTGATATGATTGTGAGCAAAAAATTGTGCTCGAAACGTCATCAGTGAATATTAATGTATAACTCTACGAGACTTTATCAAAATGAATTTTATCTATAAAGGAGTGATAAAGTATTATTTACTTCCTGATAATGTTTCTAGCACAGTTTGTTGCCCATAGTCACATTAAGGGTCTCACATAATTGTAGGACTAAATTTATGCAGTTCTATTATTTCTTACGCTTTGACTTTATTGGTAATCATATTTTCCGTATCTCTGGTATTGGTGTTTTGTCACTCCTAATGAGCATGTTAGATGTAAATTCAACGAACAGAGATTCGGTAAAGAACCACTCACTCTATTTAAATATTCATTAACTATTACCCACAATGTGCGTCGCTGGCAAAGCGGTTAGGATGCTCGCCGACCATGTACATGGTCCGGGGTTTGATCCCCGGCCGACGCACTCCTTTACCTCGCTAAGCCAGAAATAATGCTGGTGAAGAGGAAAGGTTGGGCATGAGGCTAGCAACCCCATCCTGTAAAATAAACACTGCTACAGAAACTTCAAGCCATTAGCTTGAAGCCCTATGTTCCACTGGGGAACGTGAAGGAAAAAAAAATTACCCACAATAAATAATGCTCGAAACGTCGTCAGTAAATAAATAATACTTTAAGACTGTTTGCTATATCAAAAAAAACAAACTAATTCACACCTTACAATAGTGTCCAAATTTTATTCTAATATCGATACTACTAATAACAAGTAATCATATATATATATGTATATATATATATATATATATCACAATTGCAATCTGATTTTTTTTTTCTGTTTACAAATTAATAATAGTCTAGTCAACTTTGATGTGTTTAATTGGATGGTGGCATGATATTTATTTCCCAATAATGTGAACCAATATGGTTTTAAAATCCCCGTAAAATTGCTACAAAAATACTAATCAACCTTAGCACTTTTGCTCCTCGATTTGATTATTGCTGAAATCAAACCTACGATCGACAGACTATGTGTCATCAAAGTAGAAGTTGTGTTTTAAAAAAGGCATAGTTTGGTAAAACAAATTACCAAAATATGAATTTTGATTATGATCAAAAGCATTCAATTAAAAATGTCACTAAGATTGCATTACATGCAATAGTTGACGTGGAATATTTGGACCATATGCGACGCAGTTTGTTTCATGAAACAGTTTACTAGATCTCTGGCGGAATCCATATGCTAATTTTGAATATGTGTAGATAATTATGAAAACGGCGAGCAGAAGAAATCCAATACCAGCACCAATAACAATAGAGGGTGAAATTAACAGATCTGATCTACATAATCGAAAAAAGCAAAAAGCAAAAATACGATAGGTACACAAAGTTGAAACAAATCGAAATATGTAAATCAGTTTTTACTTTCTATATTATAAACTAAATATAATGTTAAGCAGCTTTGCATACGTAATTCTAATAGAAAAATCAAAGTCATCACAGGTACAGAATTAGTAAACGGTAGCTTATTAAATTAATGTAAAAAGTAAGATGCAGAGCTAATACATATTATTGAGGAAATAATAAAATATTTTACTCAAAATGTTATGTGAAAATGAAAAAGAAATCTATACTTATTAATCGCAACAATGTTTCCCCATTTACGTGTTCATAGGGAAAGAGGTAGGTCCGCAAAAGATAAACGATAATCCACTTGATTCTTTAAAAACATCTTGAACTTAAATGCCACAGTACAATTATGTACAAATGACAGCAAAATAAGAAACTAACATTTTGAGTGCTTTTACTGTTTTCAGTCGACGGAAGAATTCATAAAGCAAAGTTTGAGTAATTTAATAATTCCCATTGTAACACTAAGAACACAATATTCAGCGAAGAAACTCCTCAACGAATTTATTATCAAGCTGTACAATCGTATATATATGGTTTTTAAGAAATTATATCCGGTGAGGGAATTGAATCATAGGTGTGAATGCATAAAGTAACAATAGAATGAAATGCAGTTAAAATGTTTGTGATTATAATCATAGTTAAATGTCAAGCTACAAAACAATTAACGCCATATACAGAATAATCCATAGGATGTATAGATGTCGGAAAGGGGTGAGTAATTATATGGTTAATAGGCTAATACAAAACCTTAAGTAACATAGTGTGAAATTTCAAAAGATAAAATTCAGTACTGTAAAAAACATTTGGATTTAGAATGACAACCGGAAACAATTCAAAATGAGAATAGTAATAATAATAATCTTAGTAATGAGGGAAAGGTACATAGATTAACAAAATAAATAAAATAAATGTCTATCCCTCTGCGGTCAAAGCTGAAGTAGGGATTGTACATACTTCTTTTGTACACAAAGGTCTGGTTGGCTTAAATTCATAAATAACCAATGCCTTCGCTGTCTTTAGAAGTCTATAACGAAGAAAAAGCTGCAAGTTAGCATGGATCCGGTAGATGATCTTAAAATCATGGTCAGGGTTAGTAGAGTAACAGGAGTCGATCAAGTGTTCTAGAATAGAACTTCGCACACCCTTCTTTTCTCCCTCATGAAACCAAACCGGTATATGTTCTCATAGCCATGTGGAAAGCGTTCTCTGGATACAGCCAATGTATCTTGCTCCAAAACAGCACGTCAAATGATAGATGCACATGGAGGGGGCCACAATGGGGAGCTTATATTTTACAGAGATAGAGGAAAACTTCAGGTTGGTGAGGTTCCGAGTGGAACATAGGGCTTCAACAACACATGTACACTCTCATTTATTTTCTGCTGTTCTCTTCAGATGGGTCCATGGTTGCCCATAATCTCTTATTTTCTTCAACTCAAACGATCTCCTCCATGTCACCCTCGCACCGACGACCCACTCGTCGTTTCCCATTGGAATTTCTTTCGAGCGATGGCGCGGTGTCATTCGACAGTCTCCTCAGTGTGTGCCCTAACCATCTCCACTTTCATCTACATATATGTTGGACGATTGGTTCTTGGTTAGTTTTTTTCCGTAGTTCCTTGCTGCTAATCCTTTCCGGACATTCGATCTTCACTATAGAGCCAGAGAAATGGGCAGCTTTTGATGAAGTCTGTAATCTGTTGCAAATGCTTTTTGTGACACGCCCACCAAGTTTCTGACCCACATAGAAGAACTGACTGATTACACTTTTGTGTTGAAAATCCGTGTCTTGTTGTTTATGCTGGCTGAGTGCAGAAGATTTTCAAACTGGTTTCAGGTTGATGAATTTGTATCTTACCCACCCGACTCCGGCTTTGACATCTTCACCCGTTCCACCTGTAGTTGAAAGTGTACTTCTTAGATAAGTGAAGGAAGTTACCTCTGTCAGATTTCTCCCGCTGGTAGTGATTGGTGCTATTTGTTGGTTATCTGCATCACCTCCATGTTCTCTATGTCTGCAAGGAGTCCTGCCTTCTCTAGCTGCTTCTTCTGACAGTTTGTTGGTTTCTGTCTGCAAGTCTTCGTGTTTTTGTGATAGTAGACATAAATCGCCTGGAGTCCTCTTATCTCTCGGTGCGGCGTATTCTTGTCTTCTCACTCCCCACACACAGTCTGACGCATAATCCAGTCCACCACAATTAAGAATATCATGAGTGATAATAGGCAGCTTGTCGTACTCCTGTAAGCACTTGGAACGCCTCGCTGAGTTTTCTACTGTGGATCACCTGGCATCTGTCATTGTCATATAGCCAGGTGTTGAATGAGTTTGATAAAGTCTAGGGCACCGCACACCATAGTGTTGAAGCAGTTTCCAAATTACTCCTCGGTCAACGCTGTTGAAGGCCTATGGGAAGTCGATGAAGCTAAGGCGCAGGTTTGATCACCATCCTATGCTTTGTTCCGTGATGACGATGCGTAGAGTTGCAATTTGATCAGCACACGATTTGCCTTTCCTGAATCCAGCTTGTTCTGGTCGGTGGGGCGGAGTTTCACACCCAGTGCACCTGTTATTCTCTCCTGGATGATGCAACTTAGTGTTTTACTTGGCGTAGTCAAGAGCATGATTTCACTCCAGTTCTTGCAGAGACTTAATTTTACCTTCTTTGGTAGCTTGGCAAGGTACACAGCCTTTCATCCAATCGTTAGACACACTCCCTTCCTTCCAAACCTTTTGCAATAATGGCGTCAGCATGTTTGCAGAGGCCTCTGGATCCGATTTCAGCGCTTCGGAGCGGGGGAATTCCTTCTGGTCCTGCTGCCTTCTAGAACCTCAGTAGCATGATTGCATCCATGATTTCTGCCTTTGTTGGAGGATTGGTGTCGACTGGCAGGCAGTTCTGTGCGTGCTGTCGGTGGTGGTGGCATTTCTGGGCGAGCTGCGGGTGATGGTCGATTCAAGAGTCCTCTGAAGTGATCAGCACATTGTTTTATTTGCTTCTCCTCCTCGGTAATTAGGATCCCTTGAACATCTTTTGTAGGTTTCACCAGCGTTGGTTTTTCCCCCAACAGAGACCTGGTTATCTGATATAATTTCCTGAGGTATCTTTCACCTGCGGCCGGCCTGTCCTGCTTCAGTTGCCGGTCAGTGAGCCGTAGAATTGTCTTTCCTAGCACCCTTCTCTATTTAGTGCAGCGTACAACGAACTTAGCTTCTTTATCAGTTGTCCATCTTTGCAATGAGTCATCTTCTATTTCGCCATCCTCCTCTTCTCTATCAGCTTCCAGGTTTCCGTATATAGCCATTCTTTGTCTTGCCTCTTCTTTCTTCGTAAAACAGTGGTGTATGTTTCCATTTGATGCATCCATTTAGGATGTTATCCATTGCTGTCCACAGCTGTTTAACGGAATCTTCCTTCTTCTCTTGTTCCAAGTTTTTTATAGGTGAGTAGCATTGGGTAACTGTAACCTTCCTTCCTGCCTTTTGAGTTGAATCCTGCTGCCATAATTCTGGATGAAATTGGTTCCCACTGCATTAGGACTTTGGCTGTCACTGGTGACAACATGATAGCTACTCATTCCCTCAGTGTGTTCGTGGGTGTCGTCTGGGTGACCAAACCGGAGTAGATCACTGACTCTTTACTTGACAATTTTGACAGTCCACATCCATTCCAACTGCTCTCTCAGATTCCCAGCACTTCTACACCATACCTCATTTCTTAGGTAACTTGGTAATCTTTGCCAGCTTCGTAAATTGTACGTACATTCCGCGGGCCTATACTTATCCTTTCTTTCATCGAGAGAAGACATATTGACTGATTGACTTTCCGAAGGCTTTCACCAGTCCACGTCATTTCGTCCTTCCGATTATAGAGAAGAATAAGGTTGCTTTTTTATATTTTTTGTATTTTCAATATTTTTATTGTGCGTAGAAGTTTCTGTAACTGTTTGACTGATTTTTCAGGGTAGGGTCGCTAGTCCCACGCCCAACTTCCTTTCTTTTACCGATCGAGCTTGGGACATGCTAAAAAATTAGGAGAGGTTCCTAGCCTTCGGTAGTAATCCCAGTGAAAAACAGGGTTGGACGCGATGCTAGCAAATCTTGAGCAGAATGCAACTATTGAAATCAACATAGTTATAAGCAACACAGAAGTGTGGTACCGCATCGTCTCCAAGGATTTCAAAGAGTTACAAATGAATTTCGTTAAAAAATTATTTGAATAATGAGAAAACAAAAATATAGCTTTCTTGTTCTGTTTTGCAGAAGTATTCCCTTTGTTCACCACTGCAATTTTAATTATCAAATAATAGGACCGGCAGGTCTTATGGAAAACTATAACTGATAATCTGGTAAATGTTTATATACGGAAAGACTATTCATAATCTCCTAAGTTTAACTGCCATATAGTTACAGATATTATCTATGTGTTTATTCTGTATGTTTGTGGTACACCTCAAAGTAATCAGAGGTGCCTTCTTAGCCTAAGCACTTGGTTTTCAGCCAACGGGTTGTGATTTCAAATCTTGTGTAACCTACTTTAGCCTGGGCAACTGGATAGTATCAGCAGCCCCATTCGTGCGATAGCCTGGTACATGAAAAAATTTTCCCTGGGTAACTGAGTTTTAACTAATACAAACGTATAAGTTTACTAGACTAAAACTCACCGTACAACATGAATCCCAGATCTAAAACCGAAATCAGGAAGAAAAAACGGAAGAATATGTAATTATGGTTATTTGAATTAACTTTAATTCTGAATTAACAAGTTGAATTTAAATGTCTTAGAGATGGAAATGGACTTGACGTTTTTATTTCCCCATGAAACCTATAAATTAAAGACTTGGTGTAAAACGAGGATCGATTTGAATTTAAAGAGACCACAATTACAGATGACAATCTAGAGAGAGCAATACATTAGCCTTTTTGAGTCATTGTATTGTGGACGATGTGACTTTGAAAAATAGGGGTATCATTATGATGGTAATATTTGTCAAAAATAGATGACAGACATATATTCGAAATAGGCGGTAGTGTGAGCTTTCTGAATTGGGTTAAGAACTAATTCCGGGACTTAACGTTAGTTAGAACTTCTAATCTAGAATCCCATATGAAGAACAGACACGAATCACCAACAGCCCACCACAAAATATCCACTAAGAATCAGATTCCCAACTAACTTTGGGTACTCTGTTTCAAGGTTACAGAATCAATTAGCTAGATGTCACACTACGGTCAGTGTTGTAGATTTCAGTAATTTACCTTGCGGTGAAATGTACTACTAATACCATTGCCGCTACACATGAAAAATGCATAATAATAAATGACTTTGAGTAGGTATGTTATAGACGTCATCCTTGCAGCTTCTTCGACTATTGCAAACGTTTATTTCCCAATACGATTGAAAAAGGCTGAAGTCGAAGTAAGAAAAGCCCAGTAATAAAGTATCGAATAGGTTACGGACACGATACTGGCAATGTCAAGTCATCCATTGTTATCAGCAGATAAATAAACAGAAAGGTATTTACAATAGTGGAGGCTTGTGCAACTGAGTCAATAAACCCGGTCTCGGTGTACAAAAATAAGTGGGAAACCTACCATTGTAATATCTTCGGCTTCGACAACCGTTGTCAACACTATTTAATTTAATTGTTTCAATTAAAACTGTCTTCGGTAAGTGGTACTATCTTAACTCGCTTCACTATTGTTATTCACTTTCCAATTATCTTTTGGACAATTAGTGTTGTAACTGCACAGCAATCCTTTCTAATCTTAATATTCAATCTCGATTACCTTTTCAACCGACTGTTTTTCTCAACTTGACCTGTGATGCACTTTCACCTTTCGTTTTCCCAATGTTTCTTCATTTAAGTAGTCATATGTGTGATTCTCACCGTACAATTAACAGTGTGTACAGTACACAGCTAAGTTGTAATGAAATCTGATAGATTTACTAAATTATGATCGATTAGCATTTTTTGCTTGTTTTTATCGATTATGGTGGCTGGGACTTGCGTTTTACGTCCCAATACATCATCTTCTTTGACGCGTGATATTAACTGAACTAAGATTAAGTTGAAAACAAGTTATAAGTGGTCAGACTGAAATATGATGTTCCTGATCCGTAAAGATGTGTATACTGCCTACATACATACCAAAATCCAATAACTGGGAGGTGTAGGGACCCCGGAAGACTCACTTCTGTGCAGGATTTTGTGTTATTTGTCACTTGGTGACAAACTGGCTAAAAAATAAGATCAGCAGAAAACGTCATTTAGAAAAACGTGAAGACGTTCCTGGTCTTGGTCTAAAACACTCTTTTTTAACTAGTGATTGCTCTGATTTCAAGAAGCGGAGTGAATATAGAGTTATTAATAAAATTACCAATACCTCCGTGTTAAAACTTATTTTAACGTAGTAGTAACTCCACATTTTATCCTACAAAACTTTAGGATGGATAGGCTTCTCACATTATAGTATTTCATCTTACTTTGCATTCTGGAGGCGTGTAGAATAACGGAGATGTTTTCAGCTTAATTCAACTACTTAATTATAAGCTAACAGAAATCAGAAACAATTCACAGGAAGTTGTGGTGCTTTATGCATATATGATATCAAATGGGGACAATAATATGGAGCTGAAAAATAAAGAAATCTATCTCACAATGCGAAAACCAAACAGTGTGAAACACTCACAAGTAAAACACTGCATTATGCTCAGTTAGTAGTGCGGATGCTGATTAATAAGAATGAATTATTTAGAAGAAGCTGGTTATTGAATGATGATATCCTCTTCAAAATCCTAAGATAATAAATGTAATAACTTGTGTACACGTTTTATAAGTAAAAAAGATTGCTTATTACAATAAATTGACAACGACCATGAACAGCATCAAACATGATGTTGATAACTTACGCGAACTGAGATGATGAACAACAATATTGCTGAGGTGGAACACCACAACAAAACCGGAGCTCGTTATCGAACGAGCTAGACTTTGTATGAAGCACTGAGGGACACACGAAGTATTCGTAACTCTCATTGTTAATTACTTTATGAGATTGACAAACGCCATAACGATCTATAAAATGTCCTGTATGGCTACCAGTAAAAAGACATACTTACACAAAGAGTCGATGCCAGATATCTGAGATCTCAGGAAGCTTGGTATATAGACAAAATCTAGAGACTGCAATTCACTATATAAGTATTCCTTCTGAATATTAGTGCTACAGCACATGTAGAAATTAAACCCAGAGAACTCAACTTACATCCCTCCATATCTTAGGAGGACTTCCTGTGGAATAGAAAAACCTGAAATCCTTTCATCCATGAAGACACGATTTCATGCAAACTCCAAGTAAAATTAAGAAAGAAAACCACAACCACTATAGTGGTTGCGGATATATATTATATATTATGCACTTATGCAATGGAACTAATAAGTACAACGTAAATTTAATTAGCAATATCTTACAAAATTGTTTTTAGTTTGCAGCAAACAGTATTGAAGTGAAGTCATCTGTATATTGTCTATCACTAATGTCTAACGTAGTTACAGATTTTCAAATAAGCCTCATAGCATTTCCATGGTAGCATTCGATTTCCAATATCCAATATCCTGATTACGAGCTAGTATAAACCAGTGATTTCTTTGAGCTCGCTTCTTGATTGTAAGGTAGAGGTTCCAGATCTTCGGTGAACTTATGCGTAGTAAATCTTGCCACTCGACTGCTTTAGCTCTGGTAGACTCCAAGAGGAGTGGTGCGAGGATTGGTCAAGATTGTGGTTTGTAGTGTGCAGTATGTTAGGACTCAGCTGCTGCCGTGAATGGAGTTTGACCTAACACCCGTTGGTCATTCGGTATAGTCATAAAAGTAGAATAGTAATAATAATAATAATAATAATAGGTTGTAGTGTAGATAATATAGGTTGAGATAAGTGAAATAATAAAGGTGAAATAATAAAGAAAGAAAAAAGGATAGAGTAGTCGGTACAGTGGGAGAAGACAGGACGGGTCGTGGGGATTTAGCTTGTATGCTTATCCATTGACAATGTGGTTTCAAATTTTAAGAGGGTAAGCCATTGAGACACAAACCATGCATTTCTGCATGATTGTCCAGCTTCCGCTTAAAAGTCTCCACAGATGGAGCTGTAGTTACGGCCGCCGGTAAAGCGTTCCAGAGACGGCAAACTCGAAGCGAGAAGAAATGTGAACGCACTCGAGTCCTTGGTCTCTGGTGTGCTATCCTTAGCGGGTTACCTCGTGGAAGCCTATAATCACTTAATGGCAGGATGCTCTTATTAGGGTGGGCCTGGTCATTTAAGATCTTAAAGACGATGATGAGGTCTCCCTGTGAATACGGTAACTAAGTGTGAAAAGACTTAATTTCTTGAGTCTTTCCTCATATGATTTGTTGCGGAGGCCGATCACCCATTTTGTCGTTCGTCTCTGGACACTTTCTTGCATGTTAGCATCCCTTTTGAGTAGCGGAGGAGCAATGATATTATGCACCTCAAGGAGTGGCCTCACGTACGTCGTATACAACGTTAGGAATAGTTCAGGAGTAAGAGCTCCCAGTTGCCTATGCATAAAGCGTAAAGTGGCGTAAGCTTTGGCGACGTCCCTCGTGTAATTTACACTGGTGTCTAGCTTTTCTGTTAAAATAAGACCTAGATCGCGTTCCGATGGCACACAACTCAAGTTCTGGCCACCAAGAGTGTAATTTGCACTCTGTGACCTGCCGGAATGAAGTTGCACTACTTTGCATTTCTTTAAGTTGAAAGGCATTCCGTTAGCCAGAGCCCAGTCTCTTAGAGTTTGCAGGTCAGTCTGCAATCTGTCGGAGTCTTCCGATGAGTTTATTGCTCTCCAAGTCTTTACTTCGTCAGCGTAAAGAAGCGCAAAGCAATTCAGTTGACAGGGCAGGTCGTTGATGAAAATCAAAAACATCAACGGCCCTAAGATAGAACCTTGAGGAACGCCTGATGCCGAGGTGTGCCAGGATGATCGGATGCGGTTGACTTTGATGCAGAATTCTCTCTCGCCTAAATAATCTTCCAGCCATGCGAGAAGTGCTCCAGAAACACCCGCTTTGCTTATTTTGTGAAGGAGCAGACCATGGTGAACTGTGTCGAATGCTTTCGCAAAGTCGAGAAAGATCACATGGACTGGTACCTTTATATCCCAGGATAGTGTCCAATCGTTCCAAGCTAGTAGAAGATTCGTCACACAGGATCTTCCCCTCCTGAAACCGTGCTGTGCTTCATGGAGTAGGTTAGTCCCGTCGAAGTATTTTCTCATGTGGTCGTCAATGAGACTTTCCAATATCTTCGATATCACTGGGAGTAGCGCAACTGGTTTGTAACTGGTCGCGTTCTGCCGGTCACCACCCTTGAAGATAGGGGATAGGATGGCTCGTTTCCATTCACATTCCCTACATCAAAGGAGTGTTGAAACAGATCACTTAGGGGTTGGCAGAGACTTTCTGAACATTGCTTCAGGACGGATGGTCTTATGTCATCGCAACCTGCAGACTTTCCCGACGCCAACTTTCCCAATTTTACGAGTACCAAAGCCGGGGTAATTTGAAATGTACCCAGCAGGTTTTCGCACGTTGGTCTAGCATGGTAGTCTTGATGTTTTGTGGGGGTAAAATCCTCATTACTGTTCAGTTGCCTGTGAAAGGCTAGACTGAATGTCTCTGCCATTTCAAGACTAGTAAGAAATTTCCCATCAGAACCCACTAGATTGCAAGCTCCCTGGTTGGTCGGTTTTCTTTCAGACATAAACCTGTATAGGCTTTTGGGGTTCACGAGAAGCTTATTGGCGAGGTTTCTCTGAAATGTCTTTCTATCACTCCGGACTCGTATGTTACATCGATTCCTGAGTTCGAAGTACACTTCATGTTCGGGTTGACTCTTCGATACTCGCCACGCAAACCAGGCTTTTCGCTTCGCCTGTAGAAGGCGTTGTGTCCCCCTTTTTAGCCATGAACGTTGCTTTCTAGCTTTTGGTGTGACTAAAGGAACAGTGTCTGAGACCGCCTGGTGAATGATCTCCTTTACCACTCCCCAGTGTTCTTCTACTGTAAGATCTGTCCAATTTTTTGGCCAATTTGCTACAGACAAAATTCTTCGCATTTCGGTGTAATTGGCTTTGTTATAACACACATAGGGCTGTGTATTGTCCCACTGTAAACGCTCGCGGAGGACTATGTCGAATGTTATGACCGCATGGTCACTACTACCTATGGGAGTCGTGATCTGAACGTTTTCCACTAGTAGCTGGTCACTAGTGAGCACGTAATCCAGTCTAGAAGACTTCCCATCTGGGCCCCATCTAGTATCCATTCTGACATTTTCGGTGAATCCGGCCTCCCTGATGGTATGCAGCAGATTTCGATCAAATCTGTCCTGGGCACATCCCGTCATCAAGTTAAGAGATGGGGCATTGAAGTCTCCAGCTATGACAATTTGATCATAACCCATGTCTTGTGTCGCCGAAATTGCATTCAGCAGTAACTGGTTGTGGTCTGCTCCACATGAAGGTGATCTGTAAATGCTGCCCACTAGATACTTACAGTACCCAACGGTGAAATGGCACCATATGGAGTCAGGGAGCTCAATGAGGGGAGGGTCGATTGCATGGACACATCTGAGCTGTTTGTCGACGTATATGGCGACTCCACCTCCTTCTTTCAGATCCCTATCTCGCCTGACTAGGACCATATCATTTATACTGACTTCGCTGTCTACCACCGTAGGGGTTAGCCAGGTTTCCATCAGTATTATGATTTTGGAGTTCAGCTGTGATTGTAGGTATCTAAGTTCAGCTATTTTGCCCCTTAGACCCCTCACATTACTGTACAGGCAACTGGTAGTCAGTCTCACCACGTCCCCATATTGTGGGGTGGTTGACGTGATGTGGGCTGTCGGTTGAGGAGTTATCCTACGAACTTCTTCTGATTCAATTGGAGCACTTGGATGACACTGGCTATCATCGTCCGTGCTGCACCGCTGTATTGTGACTAGGGGTTGGGGATGTTCTATGACAACGTTTTGTTCTCTCCTCTGGGTGCGAGGCCGGCTCTCGCAGCAGCGAATGAGTCTACTGACCTTGTCCTTGGTCTCGTACCATCTCTGGAGAGCAGTAGTCAAGTGGTCTCGGGAGCTGAACTTAACAGCTAACAGACGTGGAGTGTTAATTGACATAAGGTGAGTGGGTCGAGGCAGTCTAAAAGTAGAGACAGCCCCTGAACTTCCCAGACCCATCTGGGATGCCAACCATCTCCATTGCTGTACATCGTGATAGTGCTTGTCACAAGCGTTCCCAGTTCCCAGTTCGGGAATGCCGTGAACAACCATGGAGGCAGAAGGAATAAGCTCTGGCGACTCCCTCGCCATCTGTCTTTCCTTCCATGGCCTATCTGGCCTAACACATATATTGCAGGTCCTCCCTAAAGAAAGGACTTGGGAAGTCAATAAAACTTTTTCGGCATCTTCGGCAGAGCCTAGTGTTACCCTCAGTGGGGATGGTTTGCCTTGAGGAGCAGCAGTGCCCTTATACAATCTGCACAGTTTTACTGGTTGGATGTCCAGACCCAGTGTGCTACATAAGTTGGACCACTGTTCCTGATCAAACAGGGCCCTGTTTTCCAGCGGACTACTGCTACAGTCTGGTACATTAAAGAGGATAACGCAGTTTGATCGACTAACCGTGGATTTAGGTTCGGTCCTCGCACATTTGTCATCCCCCTTAAGACCGTTTTGTTTTGTCTGGTGTAACTGGGTATTATTATGTGTCGCAGTGCTGTGGCCACTTTTAATGGTGGACGGTAAGGGTCTTTTCCCAGCGACAGGTACCCTTGGTGCTTCAACCTCTGTGTCTGGGGCAGTTATGGCTGGAATTGCAAGTATAACCGGTGTGGATTTTGGTATCCCCGATTTCCATGCAATTGTGCTGTTTTCTGAGTTGGTGGGAGTAAAACGTTTCACGTTTTTTTCCTGATATCTCTATGCCATCTGTAGCTTTCGAGGAACTACGCGAGGCTGCATTAGGACGGCAACTTGGGCATATGTACCAGAACCATGGGCATGGGTTCTTACGCATAAAATCGTAATATACCTTTGGTACTCCGGTGTCACATCTACAATGTACCCATTGCTTACAAAAGTTGCATTCGAAAGCAGAGTCTACTTGTTCGACAATAGAATTGCAGACCTTGCAATCGTCTGCCTTCTTGGGGAACGTTTTCGTCGTCTTGCGACGACGTGAACGTTTCTTATTGGCCTTCCTGTTTGTTTCAGGGCCTACTGTGGATATGGGTGTCATACTATTCCCACTTTGTGCAGATTTACCACTCGCCTCTACTAACTTAGTCGTGTTAACAGGGATGGAGCCACATCCGCTTAGTTGACTTTTCACAGTTTCACTGTAGGACTGCGGCGACATGGACAATCTGTTCACGCAGGGAATATTTACCCTGGTCTTCAAGACCGGTATGCGAGATTCCATCACCTTCACCTGTTTGCTGAATTTGGCTGAAGCTCTGGTGACTACGGTGTATGGTCTCCCATTACTTATCTTGGGGTGAG